TCTTTCTTTGCACTCTTTACCTTTGTATCCTTCAATGTCTCCAGGATCACCAGGCTTTTCTCGTTTTCTCTTGTCACCTGGGCGAGCTTCTGCTGCTTCAAATATTGTCAGGCCTGGAGAAAATACTTTCTTGGTTATAAGGTGCACTCAGTTATAAGACGCACCCCAAACTTAACAGCTTAGTCAAGCTAAGTTCCCAAGCTGAAAATTATGTGAAAATACTCAGTTAAAAGATGCACCAAAAGGTTGAGAGTTAACAAAAGTTGTAATGGATCTGAGGAAGTTTCACGGTTGCTCTGGCAGTGAAAGCAAATGGCAAAAGATTCCCACGAAAAGTCATAATCAAAGGTGTTCGACAGCTGAATATCAACACGCCGCCAAGGATGCCAGTTTCAGTGCATAAAAAAGGCTGGATGGAAGAAGAAGGCAGGTTTTATATCCACATAATTTATTCAGAGAAGGAACTTTTCAAGCACATGACAAAAACACGATTCTAGGAATTTGAAATGAGGTTTTTTACCATGGATATCACATTACCAAGCACGTGCTGTTAAGAAAGTATGCAAATTTCCGTTTGTTTGCTTTTCTGTTTTATTCTTTTAAACTGTAAGTTCTGCTAAAAATTATGATCTTAAGATTTAGTTGCGCAAAAATACTTGGCCATAAGACACACCCCAATTTCAGCACTTAACTTTCCACCCAAAGGCAGAATTTTCTTCAAAAAACCGTGCGCCTTATAACTGAGAAAATACGGTACATCAAATCCTATCTAACAGTTCTACCACAAATGATGTGCTAAAGAAATGGAAAAAGAAGCAAGGGATCACCCAGTCTAAACAAACTAAAATTAATCAGAAATGTTGAGTTGTTCCTTGCTAGCATTTAATGTACATACCTTTCTTCTCCTCTGCTTTTCCAACATCTCCAACAAACCTATTCATACATTATAATGCATCAATGAATAACTATTGATCTGTGCGAATAAAAATTAATATTTCAGCCACCGTTTGGTGGTTTATGTTGCTGTCTGTCTTCTGTGTTGGGATATTCCTTTAAAAGTCTAGGTAAAAGATGAAAAAATTGCATTCTACCTGTACATGTAATTCAAAACACTCTGCAAACCTCTCTCCTTTCTATACCTTGAAACTTAACCCAAGGGATGCAATTTTTCTGCTGTACAAGACTATGTTAAAAACACTTCATTGACCTTAATCAAAACTGGGGCAAAATGTTTCTTGTAATTTTTACAAAAATCTGTAAAGTCAAACCTTTCCCCACTTGTGCTAGCCCCTCCTGTTACACTGGGATCCAGGGCATAACCTGACAGATTTTGTACAACAAAAATCAAATTTAAATAATTCTTTAAATTACTGAGTAAAACTCTACAAGCTTTCTACAGTTCATTTGAAGATCTGTCAGTAATTTCAGATTGTACTATAAACAACGATTTAAATAACACTTCCAGATATAAGAAAGAAAGAAACAAAATATAAGATGAATCAGACTTTTAGTTAACCCTTCAAGCCCTGGGAGTGATTAGCATTTAGTTTCTCCTTACACTACCAACCTTGAATTAAACATTAAGGTCACAAGAATAATTATAGGAAATGATCACCAACTAAAGAAGCTCCTGATTGTTAAACAAATTCTCCTTGTCAGCAGCTTAGAAAATGTATGGAGAACAGTATAGAGAATATACATACTGTTGTTAAGGTGGAAAGAGTTAAAGGAAGTTTAGTGTCAGTAGAGACTCATTCCACCTGCCTATACTGCCTGCTGATACCATTCAATAAATACACTGAATAATCAGTTCTTCGTATTGACAAAGATTTATTAATACATGGACAGGTAAAAACAAGCAATATAATATCCTGACATTTCGGCGACTTCATGACGCCATTATCAAGAGAACAAATGAAAATATAATTAACAAACACGAGTTCAAGTTCAAGAGAAACAACTAATTTACATAGGGGAGGTAGCTATACAAATACTTTAGCACGGATAGCATAGATAGAATCCATGCTTAAGTATTTGTATAGCTACCTCCCCTGTGTAAATTATTGTAGTTGTAACTCTTGAACTCACATTTGTTAATTTTATTTTCATTTGCACCCTTGATAATGGCGCCATGACGTCGATGAAACGTCGGCATATTAAATCAGTTCTTCAATTTTTTTTTTAATATCCTTACCATAACTAGTAAATGTTCTTCTTTGAGTCTCAAATGTAAAGTCACTCATGTGAGCTGGTTCAACATAACCTGAAACCAAATCAACAGATTTAATTCTGGGAACAATTGTGGAGTGCTGTCTACAAAAACCAAAATGTAAATAAAAGTAGCAGTTCCACTATCAACACAAAAATTTTATAAATTCAAGTTACCAGCTAGTGCATTCTTTGGAGCATTTTGCTGCCTAGTTTTAAAGGGATTGGATGGTCCAACCTATCCATAGACAATAGAAAAGCATAGACATATTAATGTATAAAACATAACAGTTAATTTCAATTAATTATTATACAGTGAAACAATCCACCCTGAGATTATTTTGGCACATAGAAAAATACTTGGCAACTACATGAAAAATTGCAGTAAAAGTCGTTGATATATAAGTTGTGTTCTCAGTTGCAATGCAAGCTAGAACGTTTTTTCTTTGAGCACCCAAGGTCTAGAATTAACTCGAGATGATACTTGCATAAAATACTCAATCCTTTCTTTAAAAAGTGTTTTTCTCTATGGTTCAGTGTCCTACATGTGTCACAAAGTGTTTTTCTTTTTCTTCCATATCATTAATTTTATTTCAAGCGACATTCTACGATTTTTGAGTCCCCAGATGGCGACATGAAAAAGACTAAGGCTGAAAGCCCTGTAGATAGATATTTTCCGAGATAAAACTGAGTAGTGCACCATGCACTTCATTTTCACCTCCGGGGAGTACATCTCTTCATATCGCGGGTTGTAAGTGACCTCCTTGGTGGTGGGATCGACTTGTCTAATCACACCGACAGCCTCCTGAGGTATGAAAAAAAATCATTTCTTAAGCCTGCTTTTAATMCAWMGAATTTTTTGGCATCTTGAGAACTGGAAGAATTCACAAAATGGACCCATGCGTCTCTTAACTCCGTATACCAACCTTTGCAGTTACAACCGGAGCACTTTTAACCTGCACTTTGGATTGAAGTTGTGAAATTGAGACATTAGAATTTAGATGTGCCGTATGATCCGCTGTAGTTTCCTCTTCAGGACTTTCTTTTCCTTCAGAATCGCTATCATCACCGTAGGCATTTACAAGGGCTTCCATGGCCGCCATGTTGTTACAAAGTTGGCCGGGTTACTAAGTAAGCATGAGGTTTATTCCGGTTACTCTGTCGTGTAAAGTATCACGTAATGTTCCAGCATATGATACCTTGACAGGAAAAACAAAAGACTAAAACCGAAAAAAACAAAACAAAACAAAACAAAAAGAAGCAGTCTTAGTAAAGCCTATAGCTTCCCATTGCTATAGTTTATTTGGGATGGTTTGTTCCACAGGCAAAAAAGAAATTCAAAATGTTCCTGATATCAGCATAGCCTCGAACATCACTAGTCCTTCTTGATTAATCAAACAGACGAATGTCGCATCTGGTCAAAAGTAAGAGAAACGTATCTCGTGTAACATTTTCCCAATGCACATACTCCATATAGGATAGCTTCTTTGAGAAGTGTTCGATTCGTCGTGTTTAAGGAGCCCGGCAAATGAGGCTGTCCGCCATTACGATGTATGCTACTATTCCTCTCTTATATCGCTTCTATCAGTTCTTTGTACGAGGCCGTCTGCCATTACGATGTATGCTACTACTCCTCTTTTGTATCGCTTCTATCAGTTCTTTGTATGCTTCACTCGCTGTATTCTTGANCATTATCTCGCCTGTGATAGGTGATAATGACAATTCTATCGCACTGATTAATCAGTTTTCCCAGTGGTCTAGAAGTAATGGTATGTGTAGCAATCCATCTAAGTGCAAGGAAATCATTTTCCGCAAGAAAGGTTGTACAATAGAGTTTCCGATGGTGTCTGGAATACCACAGACAAAAGAGCTTACTATTTTAGGGGTAACATTTCAGGAAGACAGTAGGTTCATAACACATATTCGGGAAAAACTAATCAAAGCAAACAAGTGCCTGTTCATTTTAAGATCTTTAAGGAAAGAAGGGTACAATCAGGCCGAAATAGACCATCTGTTTCTAAATCTGGTTCTACCAAATATATTATACGGGCTGTCCGTATTTGGCGCTGTAAATTCCGAATTAACAACAATCCAATGTTTCTTAGATCGATGTTATAAGCGCAAGTATACATCCGACCACATTAATGTTTATGAATTGTTAGTTCAACAGGACACACGTATCTTCAAGAATGTTTTTAATAATACAATACACCCTTTAAGAGCTATAATGCCAAAAAAGAAATCAACCAAGTACAATCTGAGGAAAGAGACAAGTCACCATCCTAAAATAAACACTGATAGGTTCAAAAACACGTTTGTTAATCGCTTAATTTTTAAACATAATCTAGTCTTATAATTTTTATCTTGATTTTCTCTGTAATTTATATATATACCTTCTTTTAATGTTGTAACATAGGATATGTGATTATTTATCTTATGACTTAATAAAGATTCAATTCAATTCAATTCAATTCACAAACGGGATAAATTGTTGGGTGGTTTCACCAATCGCTTGGCTTTTAACGAAAAGTACTGAGACTCTGGACTCTTCTCTTTATAGTTCTTTCCAACTACAACGCTTCAGATCTTTTCTTCTTCTACTACTTAGCGAGGAGTGCCCACGTATTAAAAACAAAAATCACAAACATGTTTGGGTTGGCTGACCAAGAAAGTTTCCTTAGTGTATCCTTTGTTTTGGAAAGGGGAAATTGGGTGGCTCGCTCCGAGGTACTTGGCGGGCACCAAGGAACCAATCAAACGCCAATGATCGAGCTGAGCACAAGAATCGCGCGCACAAACAGGAGCTTCAGTGTAGGTAAAACTCAAGGGCAGTTCTACCAACCCAAACATGACCACCTATGAAACTAATTATTCTCAACCATAACAAGTGTCCGACTCGTTGTGTTTAACGAGCCTGGCAAGCGAGGGTGTCCGCCATTGCGACATATGCTAATAGTACTCTTTTATATGGCTTTTATCAGTTCTCTGTATGCTAGCTTCATTTTATTTATTTCTGAACGGAAGCGCTCCATTGCACTCTCAAACTTCCTCACCCAGTAATTAAAAAACTCTTTACACTGACAACTCCTGCTAGTTAGATATGGAGTTTCCAGATGGTCGACTGGTAATCGTGGGTGCGCAAAGAGAGTTATTCTCGATCTGGCTTAGGGGCCGAACAACTTCTCCTCGAGTCTGATTTGGAGTAACTCTAAAACTGCCTTGGAGGCCAAGTAACTCCTCGTTTCTACATCTCTTTTTTTTTTTTTGGCGTTCTTTCTATTCTGTGTACTGTGGGAGCTCTGAAATTTAGAGCCAAACTTGCGATTTATCACAAGAATATTATCAAACCAAAGCGCACAAAATAAAGTATGGAACAATACGTACGGGGAGGGGTGTATAAAGCATTTTCAATGATTCATCCACAGTCATGTAGCTCGTATATTGGAAACAGCAGTTGGCTGGTGCAATTCTGTAAAGTTTTATTTCACTAATAATGTAGATTGTACTCTATTATGATGTTGATTTTCAGATAAAATGGATACAGGGAAAGGGCTGTTAAATAAAGACTTTCCTACTTTTCTCGGAACAAAATTGACCAGAAAGGTCGTCATGTGAAACCATGTCGCAGAGAAAGTGAAAGTGATATTCAAACCTCTTACAGCTTGAGTCTCCCAGACAGTGATCAATGATAAACTTTCTATCTTAACAAGAAAATTCTATTCAGTACGAGATCCACAAGCTTTATTTTAATTTTTTGGTTGTGTGAAAATTGTTCAAACAGTGATAATATCTCAATTTGAAGTGTTGTTTTGTTTTCGTCATGATTGACTTGTCTCTCGAGGAATCTTTAGGCACATCCGTTGTTACTCTGTGGAGTGGAAAGAATAAAAAAATTGCTCCATTAAAGATCACGAGAGGGGTTAAATAGTGGAAATGTGCAAAATGATTTTCTAAATCCGAAAAACAATTTTGGAGTATAGATGTTAAGCATTGGAAAAATAGAAATAAGTTTGGAAGCATTCCTGTTCTAAATAAAGTGCGTGATAACCAGGGAAAATGTTTGCCAGCAAGTTGCACTTCAAGAAGAGTTTTCATAGCCGAAAACTATCATACCTGACTGATCGTCGTTGATCATTGTAACGCAATCGCATCATAAAAGATTTTCGACAGCAATATTAAGGCCCACGATCCGGCTTTACACTTCTCTTTTCGTCAAGATCGCGCACTCGGCGAAATTGTATATTTTTATAAAGAATAACTGTGTACTTAAGCACTGCAATATCTGAATCTTTAGGAGGCTTAACCGCCTCAAAAAACGAAAGGCGGTGTATGATAAGCTGGATCGTCAATTCAAAAGAGATGTTTTACTTAAATAATGAACTTGTAATTTATCATCGTTCGTAATCTCTTTCAATGGAAATAGTAAAGCAAGCAAGAACTGTGTTCCGCTGATTGACCTATTTACTAAGCACAGGATAAGGGGAATGGGGTAAGCGAACGGCAAACTTCGTGCTCCTGTCCTCCATATGACTCTTCCTCTCTCACCCCACCCCCTCCCTCGCCTGTTTTGCCTGGGTTTGGGGTTAGCTGTTGTTTTCTATTTTTATAAAATTTGATCAAAACAGTTGTGGAACATACAGCATGGGGTCTGGTTGCATATCTGTAGTTCCAACGGATCTCCAGCACAGTTGTTTCCTCCATTTGATGGTGGTGGGTTTGTACACGTGCGGAATCTGATCTGAGTACCGCCCCCACAAGTCACAGAACAGGGGTTCCAGGCTCCCCAGTCTGACCAGCCACCATCCACGCTGCCTGTGAGGGCGAGAAACCATCAACAAATTGAGATGAACGAGAAAAGGAAAAACTTCTCAGAGCTAGATAACTGGTCACATTTGCAAGATCGCTGACATTTATGAGGAAGTTAAAAAAAAAAAAAAAAAAACCAGCGCTAATGAGAAAATAACCATGTATTTAACATTATACCCTTACACACGATGAAGGAAGAGTGAAGGATCAGTCAGGAAAATTGTTCTAAGCGATGTAGATCTTCTCTGATTGACATAAAAAAATGGATTTCCTTCAACCCCTAAGTCTTCCCCTAACCCCTACCTTTCATTTAATAAAAAAAAAAAAGAACTGGGGCAGTACGCCTAAGAACCCATATTATCTACCTCCCCCGTTCCACCCTTAATTGAGTTTTTGTTCCACCATCTGTTTGCTGGATTGGTACATAAGTGACATGGGGGAGAGGATACAGCTCCGAAAGAGCATCATGAGCCAACCTGGAATCAATTCGCAGCATCTGATCTGCGTCAGACAGTCTATCGTGGAACACGTTGTTTTGTACAATCCCTTCAGGAACATGCCAATTGGACACTGCCTCATCCCATCTGCTATGAAATTCACATTGATGTCTCTGCATGGTCCATCTTGGTCTGGGTGGCTCACAGGTTTACAGCAAACACCCTCGCCGATGTCCGCCAAGAAATTTCTACCAACGGTGAAAAACCCGCGCAGAAGATATCCTGGATTCTCGCACAATGCCCACGAATCATGGCTGATTAGGAAATTTTGAAAAAGCAATTACAACTAATGTAAATATAATTGAACGAAATCGTATACGCTGGATGATCATTTACAATAACGTACAAACTATTTGCAAGATTAAGGAAATGGTGAGAGAGCGCGAAGATCGAAAATAGTATATGGAGATCGAAAATAGTATATGGAGAAGCCTAGCTATACTATTTTCGATCTTCGCGCGCTCTCTCACCATTTCCTTAATCTTGCAAATAGTTTGTACGTTATTGTAAATGATCATCCAGCGTATACGATCTCGTTCAATTATATTTAGATTAGTATGTTTCGCTGACAGGTATGATCACGCCATTCCCCTCTGTTCCTTTGTGCAAAGACTTTACCTATTCACTTTATGTATTATAAATTGCTAGCTAGGACAATGTATGATGTAAATAATGATGTTATTCCTTCACAGTTGAAGGATTTGTTCATCCCTGCTGCAAAAATTCATTCATATAATACGCGATCTTTAGCCTACAACAACTCTTACATTAAAAAATCAAAACTTGAATTGAACGAAAATCGTTTTCAAGAATCGGTGCAAAACTGTGGAATGAGATACCAACGAAGCTCCGAACACTACCAAAATTCATCTTTAAAAGAAAAATTCGTACAATCTTGTTCAATATATTAGAATTAGAAGACTCCTACGAAGATTTAGAATCGATAATCTCTAAAGTTAGTAAATAATCTTAGTAGCTATCACCTTTGTCTCGCCCATTCTACCTTATCCATTTAATCTTATGTATTCACTCACGACATAATGCGCTGTCAACTTGAATTAACCACATAGTTGTTTCCGTAGACTTAATTTGTTTTCGTATTTACCATCTATTTATTCATCTTTAGTTTTAACTGTGTGTATTTTCCTCTTCTTTACTGATTATCCTGGCCCGCCTCGATTAACACTGCTATCTGCGGAGCCAGGGGAATAAGGATTATTGTTATTGTTATTGTTAAATAAACGTGTTCAAACGTGTAAAAAAAAGAAAAAAAATTAGCCCATGAAGGAATGACGTTTACAAAAACACGGAAGCAAGTTGTGTTAATTTCGTAGCATCTTTATGTCTATTGATTTGAAAACTAACTGATATTTACTAAGCCTACAATCAGCAAGAAGCTTTAAGACGCGAATTTCTCTAATTTTAGTTTGGGGTTAGAGCATCCGCCTGTCCAGTCAGCAATGAGAAAGTTCAGAAGTTTCCTCATCCAATTCTCGATTATCCAATTCTCTCTTCGAAAAAGTGTGGGAAGTCGAGTATTGTAGGAAATTTCGTATAAACTAAGCCTACGATCTAGCAGACGCGAATTCTTTTCTTTTTGAGGGTAGAGCATCTACCCAGTTAACAATATTTTCTTTATCCGATTATCCCCGTGTCGCTGTTTAAATGAGGATTTTATCTTTAACAATGATTACACTTTTACATACCGTTGCAAGTCAGTCCACCACTGAGCCTGATAACAACTGTTGCTCTCCTGAGAGTATGGCTGGTCTACAGAGCAACATCTAGCTGCCTTAATCACACCTGGTCCTGTTTCTAACTGGGCACCATACCCCTCGCTTCTCAGGCCATTTACATAGTAGACATTATTGGAGCATTGAGAAGTAGAATCACCAGCGATTGCAAATGTGCTGGTCCAGTCTTCATTTCCGCATTGGCCTCTCGTTGGATTGCTCCAGGAGAGCAGGAATAGTAGTTGGACAATGAATGAAACATGCATAGTTTTTCAATTAGGATCTGAAATTTGGTAGAAAATTTTGAAGTCAATTTATAGTAATAATATAATAATATAGTAATAATTAACAATTATTCCACGAGCACGCGTCGGATATGAGATGATAGATAGCCAACGAGGCGCGTAGCATCGAGTTGGCTATAATCATCTCATATCCAACAAGCACAAGTGGAATAATTGTTTTATTAAAAAAAGCGCCCCCAAGATATTGGACAAATCTTCTCGACTTTATTTTGTGAGAAGAAACCGGATGTTACAATGTACAGATATTAGATCATGGTATATCGGCTCATATACCATAATGGTTAAGCCAATAAAAAGTCTTGAATTGCATTATCCAATGATCCAGTTTTTAATAATTATTATTGTTTTAATTGATAGTTCGAATAAACAAGTTACAACACTGAAAAACAAATTAAAAATACAAAGTTTTTCTGGAAGGCTTAGAGTGGAGAACAACGCCAACACAAAGCAGACAAATAACAGTGTGTAATTACAAGATTTATCTCTCTTCCCTTTGTTATCAAACGAGATCTCGGAATGCGTCGCGAAACTGAAACTAATTTCATTGACAGTGAGATAACAGATAAAAATAGACGTAAAGTAGGGTAAATTGAATAAACAAAATAAAATAACTAGAAGAAAGAACAGTTAAATTAATGAATGAAAGGGTTGTATAAAATTTATGTATTATTATTTTTAATATTTTAAATGGTTATTTTTATTATTAAGTATTAACCACACCCACGACTTTTACCCACACCCACACCCACGACTTGAACCCACGACCCACGACCATTAGTCAAACTCCAGCCGCTTCAGTCTACCGATCTCACCTTCCCACCCATCCCACCCCAGGGGAGGACATCCATCACATAGTAATCTCGTGTGTGGGAAATTAACGTCTCCTACCCCAACCCTGCAGGAGACGGGACCTCCATTTATTCGTCCCTATCCGAGAAGACCGGATATTAATCGCTATGAGTTTTTACTACGCAGAAATCAGCCACCGTAATGCTTTGATTTAGCACTCTTGTTCCAACAAGCGCCCCCTTTCTAATAAGCGTACGTGGCCGGGGAAGTGAATATTTCGCTCCTAACCGCGTCCTTCCGCCAACCGTCGACTCTAATTTCAAATCGAACATGGCCGGTTGAATAAACCGCTATCGCGATCACGTTGGGCGTGAAGTTTTAGTTTGACTGGTTGATTAAATATCGTCTTTTCTAAATGGGTAAAAAATTTTCTAAGATGCGGTACTTATGGCTCTGGAAATAGGGAATTGAAATTTGATTGATTTTACTCAAAACTGCCCGCGTGAGAACATCACCTGAATTAGTTAAGTATATTGTTACCTTCCTTTAACTAAGTTATTGAGAGTTTCATGATAATGTTATCAGAGAGATCCCTTTAGCTTTTCTTGACAAAGGAACATTATTCATCAAAAGCTCCCGCTTGCTGAAAGGGAATAAGCTGCTAAACCTTGTTCCCTTCGCAACTGTCCCGGAACAATCAGGATAAATTTTCTCTGTTTTTTTCCTGATCACGCCCTCATTTTTATGGTACACAGGAAAACAGTCTTTCTTTTGTTCTTCGCTTCAACAGTATTTTCCTTACAAGATCTTTGCCGTACATGCTGGGTATTTAAGGATTTTTTTTTTGTTCCTATCCAACGATACTCTATGCCACGCTGTTAAGACACGCTTCACGAGCTCGCGCGTGTGTGTGACAGAATTTCTTTGTGTGGGCGATAGTCGTAACATTGGGTTATTATTATCCAATGAGTAATATCCTGAAGACGACAGACTATGCCGCAAAGATTTCAGGACCTTTAGGCTAATTTGAATCAATGCACGTTCGTAAGTCTAGATCACTTCCTTTACCCGAAGGAAGTGTTGAAAGGCATCTCAAAACACGACATCCAGCTGGTCAGCCTGGCGACTGGCTTTTCTTAACAAAGGAACATTAGTCGTCAAAAGCGTTTGATAAAAGGGAATTAGCTACTGAACCACGTTTCCTTTGCAACTGTCCTGAATAATCTGGATAAATTTTAAATGGGTTTTTCCTGATCATACTATTAATATAGATTTTACTTATTGGCTTGAAAAATGTAATTGCATGTCTAACCGGTACTTATAAACTAGCAGGAAATTCTATATTTATGCATGAATTCGTCTTCTTGTTATAAATTGCATTTGAAACTGTGCAAATAGGGGTGTCACGAAAACTCAGACCCCGAAAACTCAGACCTCAGACCTCAGACCCCGAAAACTCAGACCCCGAAAACTCAGACGCCGAAAACTCAGAACCCGAAAACTCAGACCCTTAAATTATCTATCAGAATGCACTCAATTAAATACTGGCAGCCAAGGAAGAGTTTTAAGAGTTTTAAAAGCATATTGAATCAAAGTGAATATACACTCGTGGATTGATTGTGTGACATAATAAAAAAAATACGCGATCTCTTAAGAACTGATCACGAGTCAAGTTTATCTCTCTGGTAAATAAAATTGAAATAAATTTCGAGGGGTCTGAGTTTTCGGGGTCTGAGTTTTCGTAACACCCGCGCAAATAGTGCCAAATCAAAACGTCTGACCAAACTTAAACACAAACGACGGGGTGGCTTCCTAAATTCAAAGTGGTTTGCTGGAGAAGGCAAAGGTTCCTTCTGATAATTGTGGAAAAAATCGTTTTTTAAAAAAACATGATCATAAATTATTCAAAGAAACTCTGAAACATTGACAGCTGTAGCCTTCAAAGCGGGTTGCCTTAGATAAAAATGTCAAAATATACCTGTAAAGAGAATGACAAATATCAATACATACCGTTAACTTAAAGTACGTAAAGTAGCGGGCAAGCGCTTTTGGTGTTTAAAAGAAGACTTCGATGCTGTTGATGTCCACTTGGCTTGAAACGTTTCATCAAAGACCGGCTACTTGACAGCATGTTTTTAGTCTGGGTCACTTCTTTTGGTACGATACCGGAAGCGAATCACATTAAGTCAAGCCTCCAACAGGAAAACACTAAACAAAAGACGTATTTCATGAAAGTTCCCGTTTTCCCAGAGGAAATTAGCTACATGAATTCGAACCCCGCGACCTTGGCTACTTTCCAGAACGACCCAGAACAAACAGGATGAATTTTATCTGGGTTTTCCCTGATCACGCCTTCATTTTCATGGTACACAGGAAAAAAATTTTTCTTTTGTTCTTCGCTTAAACAGTGTTTTCCTTACAAGATCTTTACCATACATGCCGGGTATTTAAGGATTTTTTGTTCTTACTCAACGCTGCCTTATGTCACACTGTTAAGAGACTTCACGAGCTCACGCGTGTGTGTCAAAATGTCTTTGTGTGGGTGATGATCGTATCATTATCCAATGAGTAATATCCTGAAGACAACAGACTATGCCGCAAAGGGTTCAGGACTTTTTTAAGGCTAATTTGAATTACTGCACGTTCATAAGTCAAGATCACTTGCCTTGTACGAAGGAGGTGTCGTAAGGCAACTTAAAACACGACATCCAGCCGGAGAGGGAAACCTTTTTAGAGGGTAGGTCTACGATAATTTACCCTAGTTTTAATATGTATGTTATGTGCAGCTGTTGAACCACAAGTGCAAAAGTGTGGCGTATGATTCATTACCCTCATCGATTAGAAAATACCATCATCTCTCTCTTATCGTAAAATCGCAAAACTGGACTCTTGAATGAGTTCTTAGCTTCTCTCCTCAACTAACACAGCTTGGTTCTTTGGCCGAGGCAGTCGGAACTAATAGTAAACTAATAATTGACGAAGAGCTTTACATAAATCAATTGCGGCCGCGACGTGACTGCAACTTTTTGCTTAAAAAGCTTAAAAAGCCACTGGAAGGGCACATCAGTCTTGAAAAAAAAAAACAAAACAAAGTAACCTAAGGACCCTTTCAATCCAGCTGTTTGTTGACATGAAAATTCCAGAGGCGTTACATTAACTCATGTGGCACGTTTTCAATTCATGGAGTAAGCATTGTTCGTCTTCGAGATATCGCTTTAGTAAGTTTCTCGACCGCTGAGGAAATTTTATTTGTCATTACATTATCTTTGTGCTTCTCTGAAAAAAGAAAATCCGTGGTGAGCTGCCGAAATACTAACCAAGGCTTGACGCGACGAAGATCGGAAGATATGACACTGCTTAATTATAACAACCCTTGAGACTCATTCACTTTTTGTCTCCGGATGATTATTAGTGGCGGCACCAGTTGCTCCTGTCGAAATTTGATGTCAGAGACTTAAGCGCTGAAACACGGGATAACGTACGCGTTTGATTCAGTATTTTATAGGGCATGGGTCGCACTTTGCAAAGTTTGGCGTGAATGTGGTCACTTTGGTGTAAAAATCTGTCATCGGGGCACATTGCCTAATGCGACCCTAACTTTTCCAGTTCGCAAAAACTTTGAAAACCGGCCAAAACATCAAAGACGCCGTAGTGCTTGGGTGGGGTAGGCAGATTTTGGAAAACTCGGGCTAAACATAGCTATCACAGCGGTAACTGTCATCGCTTGTCAATAAACAGCAAACGACTCGACTGGTCGCGGAACTGACCAGGCATATGGCGCTCGAAGTAATCTTCGCTGATGTCGATTTCTCGCTCTCATCATAGCGGCAGTCAAAACAGTTAAACAGGCGTTAACCCACCTTTCATAGATCATACGAAAGACAAAAAAGTGCTCGTGATTTAACTGAATAAGAAGAATAAGCATCACCGTGATCGTTATTAACAATGCTTCAACGGGACGCATTTTTTTAACGTTTCTTTTCCTTTTTCAGCTCACTGCTCTCTCCCCATAACACGTCGATAAACGTGTGTCTGATTTATCAAAGTGCCATCACTGACATTTTTTTCACTTAGTGCGACCCCGATAGTTGAAACCAAAAGTTTGCTTTCCGGTTACGGTTTCAAATTTTCTGTTGTTTTTTGCCGGCCCAAGTGCGACCCATACCTTAGTTCAAATGCTTGGGCCATAATTGTCTTAGTACTTTTTGTCCCCGATAAAAAGATACGAATCTGAAGTATTGCTCTTCAAACCAACTTCATTGGTAGATAGATGTACACATACTCCTGTGCATATGAAGACATTTTTTCCGCAAATATAAGAAATTCCACTGTGTAATCGAAATATAATCAGCTTATTTTACGGAAGTCGTAACCTCATTCAACGCGTAAAACAATTTCGAGAATCACAGCGGATTTAAATAAAAAAAGGAAAAGAAGCCTCATACAAGTAGAATCTATCCCAATCTGGGCGCTTATTTTTATAGGATCATTCGCGTCTTGCAAGCTCAGCTGTTGGATTTTGCTATTCCAAGTCCAGGCTCAAAGCGGCCTTAAAGATCGTGTTGCTTCTTCAACTGTTTCATCACGTTTCTTTATTTAAATACATTCCAATTTGGCTTCTGTCTGTGAAAGCATCAGCCAAAGTTATGAAGTTTCAGAAGGTGCTGGATCATTCTAATCTAACTGTAATTCTATTAATTTTCGGTAATTATGAAGTCAAAACGCCAAATTGGATCCCGAAAAAAATGGGCGTAAAACTCCCTTTGCCTGTATTTTTTTCTTTTTAATATCTCACGATTTACAGATTAAAAGCTTAAAGCGAGAAACTTCTTATTTGTCCCGTCTTTGCTCAATTTGGGACTTACAAATTAGCGGTGTGATGGCACTAAAGAAAACCGATTCAAAAGGCCAGGTAAGATCGTCGGCATGAATTTTTTTCAGGAGTGGGGGGAAGGGGAGGGGAGAGGGGCGCGAGATGGTCTTCTCCTTGTTAACTCAGACCTATGGTAAGGTTTTATACGGGTGGGGGGCAGGAGGGGTGTCTATGAACCCCTTCCCTCCTTATACAAACCTCTTAAGCTGTAAGTGTTTTCCTGCTATAAATGAGAGCGTTGAAAATTTAATTTCCCGTCTACACTATATCTTATGGTCTTCTGACCAATAATTATTAATAAATCGTGCTGTTTTGTCATCTTTCCAATCAACTTCGGTCTCCATTTTGAAGAGAAGTCCACTTTCCACCCCCTCCCCCCCACCCCCCTGCGCCTCCTAAATATCTCTGATATCTTGATCATCGGAATACATTTTGAGTCAGAGTAATTGCTGATTTCACTAAGGTTTTCCTCAGCCTCTTTATTTTTCTACAGATGGCGGCGTGCCCCGGGTCTTTGATTTTGGTTCTGTTTTTCTGCTTCGGCCGTAAGTATTTGACTTTCCTTTCATTTCCTTCTTGCAGCCAGTAAAATTTGAACTTTTTTTCCAATTTCGAACAGTGCGCTGTTGATGAGCGTTATCTGTTGGCCTTCCCAAGAAAAGTCTTTAATGTTTTTTTTTTTAATTAAGGTTTTGGTTAAGGCTTATGTAGCTGGGTAGACGTGCGCCAATTTTAGTTCACAAAAGCCAATCAGAAATTTAGTTTTAGTCCAGCCTATGATTCAGTGCTTGAAAATGTAGTGAAAGTCTTTCAGACCAGTCAAATACCAGGGAAAAGAATTTCAGCCCGGGTTCACTGTAGTGTATTCTACCAGAAGTGTGAAAAGGTTGTGTTCGTAGGAATCCCGTGATGCCAAGTGAAAGTTGTTGTTGTGGTACTCGTTGGCTGCCATGTGGATAGTGTGTGGATTAAAGTATTGAAATCAAAGAAAATCTAAGGTTTTTAATCCCGTACATCCAAATATCACAATCACTTTCGACATTCAACGGAAAACTGCGATGATTACATCGAAAGGAAATCATAAGAGGAGGAATCCTCTCATGACAGCCAAAATCCTCCAACTTTCACCCGAGACAACAAATAATGACGAATCTCTAAGTTGCAAAAAAGCTGACAACGACGAAAATATTAACAGAGCAGACTCAATATTGACCAATGTCGATTATTGGTTTCAGTTCCATGGGTGAAATGTATTGTCGAAGAGAAGATAGCTCTGGTAAGGTGTTCAGCCGACATATGAAGGGGATCTCAATGGGGTGGTGGCTAACGCTTATGGTTTTTTATCACATTACGGCTAACGGTTAATATCATTCCATTGCTGTCACCAGAATTTGTCTCACGGTTAACTCTTTTTTAAGACCTTGGGTTAAATTTGTCAATTTTTACACCTAACGATGACTTTTTTTCCGTTTTGCGGCTATCCACTGACCCCATTGAGACCCTCATGGAAAGTCTTATTAGGAAAACAACAGACGATGAACAGTCTTTTGCTTCAGCTAGATAGATCGACGCTTCTACTGTATGAAAAGATTACCGGAAATTTTTCGAAACGATGACTACGAATTACCAAGAAAGAATTTGTTATTACAATATCAATGAGATATCAGGTAGTCAATCTATGAGAATTTACGAAAATATCAATGTCGATCCAATACCAAATTCTTGGAAGTAATATCATAAAAACTGCAGGGCAGACGGTAAGAAGATTATTAATTAGATCTAGGAAGTGAAATGATTCCATCGTCCCAAGTTTTGAGATTAGCGGTGAGAGCTGATAAATGGGCTAAATGTTCCTAATAAGTTGTTACTGAATATTGAGCATTTTCATTGGTAAAAAAATGCAGATAATTGAAAAAACAATAATGAAATATGAGTGACACCTGTATTTGCAGGAACTCGCCTACGTAACTTTGTTTACCTTAAGCATTCCCCCCCACCCAAGACACAAAATCTCTATGAAGTGAGTGGGGTTGTCGTAATCCGATAGTCTACGACATCCACAGACCAACTTTAGCTAACATTGGTTTTTCAGGAACAAGGCGAAAATGGAGGACCAGGATCTGATCGCGCGAATACTAAAAAACATATTCGTGTAGGTAAGAAATGACATCACTTCAATCTGATCATGACTTCCGCTCAGATTGTCAAAACGTCAGCCAGGACCACCGACAACAGTCCTTCTCAGGTGTACTCTTAGACTACGAGCAGGAGGGACTGCTCTCAGTCTACAATGCTCTCTTTTTATTGTAGAACACGTTATTAGGTTTCGATGAGAAAATTTTAAGGAGTAATTAACCTCCCTGCATGTGCTTTACATTCTATTCTTTTTTGTACTCCTCAGATCCCTTTCGGTGCCAAGTTAATCCTTGTTTCAATGGAGGAACGTGTCGAGCCATGTATCCTAGGAAAACTTTGATTGAACCTTACAAGAAACGTTTCATCCCTGAATACTTTAACCCCTCTTGGTTCTGTGTGTGCCCACCCCGGTATATTGGTTTTCGCTGCGAACAGGGTATGTACTAACTCTGCATCACTGGCCTTACCCCACGACTCCCGAGATCTCCAATATAATTCTCCTCTCTCGCTCGTTGCTATAAATTTGCTTTCTGAGAATTTAATGTTACATCAAAATGAAACCATTCGGTTAATAAGTTTTTATTTATTTATTTTTTTTGTCGTTACCTGTTTTCCTGATAATGTACTGAAATCGTAAGGAGAGCTTACATAATATCTATTTAGGAGACAAGCGTTTAAATCTTTTTACTTAAGTTTTAGATCCATGTACTCCAAACCCTTGCCAAAATGGAGGCTCGTGCTCGACACAAGGATCCAAGTTTAGTTGTCGCTGTAGAGTTCAATACACTGGAAGAAATTGCGAGATCCAGAACGGTTAGTAACGATCCATCCAATAAACGGGTTCATGTCTAGACCCAAGGCCTTAGACGAGTATCTCCCGACGACTTTCGAAGTACCCTCTGCTAGTGAGGTGTGGGGTAGAGGGGTAAACCCGTTATTAACAGACTCAGCCTCACTTTCGTGCACGATAAATACTTAAAAAATTAATGAATGGCGAAGCTTGAATGTAGGTAATAAGCCTAACTGTTATCCTGGGTTACCTGTGTGTCCTTGTCAGATCAGTTGACAAGTAGAAACCTGACAAAGACCAACCTTTGTTCCTTTAAGATTTTTGAGCGATGAATAAATCAACAACCTACTTAAGGAAGATCTAATCAGTTAAATTATGGAAATCTCGAACTCTTGAGATCTCCGCCGAAGTGCCTTGCTTAAGCGGGCAAAGTATGAAGTTCCTAAGTCAAAGCAAAGATAATGATAAGGGGTGGGCCAAATCATTCAGTTAGCAACCTCGAGGATATCTTTGAAAACACAGAAGCCTTGTGGGCTATTAGGTATACCAGGGGCTGATATTAATAGTAGTTTAAGTTAAAGATATTCATCCATCAGACCTTTTGATCGCATCACCAGACATTCCCATCGTTATGTCAATATTTCAACTGCTCTCAACTGTAACGTTTCCTCCTTTCTAGATCCATGTGTGCAAAAACCTTGCAAGAATGGAGGAACATGTTACTCCTTTGGAAACAAGATGCGCTTTTGTTTTTGTGAACCTCAATTCACTGGAGGAAGTTGCGAGAAAGGTTGGTTCTCTGAGTCTAATGTGTTTCAAGGACCCAGGAATTGAATAACTGCGGTCTCGACGGAAACCTGTTTTAGTACAGTCAATTAACAGAGAGGTTCTTAAATCTTGAGAACCTTCAAAAACTAATTTGTTTTTAAAGAAGTAAATTCAGGTTTACCTTCGATTCCACTTTCCCACTCTAAGTAATGATATCAACTTAAACAAATATCCGAGATCAATTCTAATAATCATTGCATATTTTTGCAGTAAATTGCAACGCTCGCCCATGCAAGAATGGAGGAACATGCCTTAATGTAGAAAAGAGATCATTCTGCAAGTGTCCAGCTGGAATTACTGGAAAACTTTGCGAGGGCGGTGAGTGGCGAGAGTCGACCCAGGCGTCGCATTTTTGTGTTAGGGTAAATAATAATGATAATAATAATAACAATAATGATAATAATAATAACAATAATGATAATAATAATAATAATAATAATAATAATATTAGGGATAATATAATTATATTAATAGTGTTAGGGTACTGCAGAAATGCTACAGTCTGTTCCCACGTAAATGCCCCTAACTCAGTATGTTATACACCGAATACAAATATGGCGTCCAATTTGAATTGCCACTGTTCTGAACTCACTAGCCTCGTCTTCACGTGGAAAGACAAAAGGATTATTACATGAGCGAGAGGCTAGTGAGTGCAGAACAATGGCAACTCAAATTGGACGCCATATTTGCATTCGGTGCATGCCTCTCTCAAAATAGATGTTCTTAAGTCTGGTAATTTCTTCTAACTCTTCCGCGGTCGATTTAAATTTCTAAGCTTCATCTAATGTTCCCCTTTTCTTGCATGTTTGGTGACCAACTTTCGTTGATTATTTACAGAGATCCCAGTCATCACAAAGGATCCTCAAGACTCCATTCGCATGAAAGGTGACGGCGTAACACTTTGTTGTCAAGCGACAGGGAAGCCTGCTCCTGTGTATGAATGGTAAGCCTAAAGCACGCTTTAAAGAGCTCTATTTGTCACGGTTTGGGTATCGTAAATATTTACAACGAAGATTTTAATTCCAAGATCTGCTTTTGCAATCTATTTTTTTAACCGTCGTTGTCTACACGTGATAAAAAATCTCGTCACCGAAAAATAAAGGGGAAAAGGTATGGATATAATTGATTTATCAACCTTTCTCGTTCGTTAGGTTTCGGAACGGTGTGCGCCTGCTGCAACATATAAGAAATAGAAACCTACATCTTTCTACATTATCTTCACGTGACTCTGGTGCATATCAATGTCGTGCAAAAAACAAGTTTGGGGCGACAGTTTCCAACGAAGCAACGCTGACAGTCGTGCCTGGTAAGATATGATATCATGTTAAGGACTCGTTGAATTGACTTGTGTGATTAACAATTAACATGATTCATCGAAGTGGGTGTGTAAGAAAAGGATATCCACTGAATTGCCAAACCATAACCGAACGAGCCAATTAATCAGCTCGAGCAAAAAGCACTATTAACGTATAGTTTTTTACTTCAGGATACGGTAGACCTTCGAGGGCCACTTTTTTAAATTTTTTTCCAAGTCAAACTGTGCATTATTAATCTAACTATAGTTTACAAGAAAAAATTTGTGCAAAATATTTAAACATACGCGAGTTATTTGCGAAAACGAATTTTCGAACTAATTCTGTATCGCACCGAAGCGTGAATAGCCAATCACAATAAACGAATCCAGACGGAGGTAAAACATCCTGGTCCTTGAATTCTAGTCGCGTAAACACTGATTTCAATCACAAGTGGTGATCTTTGATATCTTTCTGCGTTTAAAATTAGACTGCGAATGGGAAAAATAAAGTAGGGAGAGTCCTTAGGTGAAACTAGAAAGGAAGTCCAGCTGCAAGTACAAGAAATTCCACACACAATGACCAAAGAATCTCATTGCGAAAAGGAGAAGGTTTTGTGGTTCGTTGTCGAAGCAATCGTCGCTGCTTGCACCCGCACTCGCATTAGAGATAAAATGTAAGCAATAAATCACATGTGCTTGTTCGAAACACAATCTTCCAGGTTTAAATAACACGAAATGTCACAGATAAGTATGAGTTGGTTTTCGAACAGCTCTTACTTTTCATAATAAAAATATGTTTTCTGCCGTCTTTAAAATTACGTTTTCCATGAAACTAGAAACATACAATTTCAGGTAATCGCCAAGACTCATGCCACCCCACCCCACTGACGAGAGTTGTGTCATTACCTGAAGGATGCACAGAAGATAGCAGCGGGAGGAACAGCGTCAATGTTGGTACTTGTTCTAACGAAGCATGCGTGAAGCGTAACCAACGGCATGCCGGGAGGTGTGGGGGACACGACTCCAATCGGCAATGTTGTAGCGCTGCTTCTATGTCTAACAGCCGCGTTAGTTGCAAAAGCGGTATAAAGTTCAACATTCAGAAAGTCTCCAAGTGTGCATGTGCAGACTGTGCTGTCTCAAAAATTGTTGTTCGAGGCAAGGTTGTCGATCCTGAGGGAAGTCCCCTTTGGCGGGGCGAGATGACCTTGAGCACTGACGCTGGTAAAAGATACTATACGGACAGGCAAGGGAATTTTAAGATTCTGGTCAGGTCAGGAACGAAGCGAATAGTATTGACTGTAAAAGACAAGTTTCAAGGACTGCTGGAAGACACAACGAAAGTTTTCGAACTTCAGGAAGGGCAAGTGTCCTTTTATACCATCGTTCTTCAAAAGAAACCGCCTGCGATTAAATTCCCAGCAAACAAGAAAAAGAACATTCCTCTTGGAGGGTCTGGAGGCAAACCTAATTTTGTCGATCTGGACATCCCGGCAAATGCCTTCCTCACAGCTGATGGAAGAGTATATAATGGTGAGATCACTGCAAGTATTGGGGTGATTGATCCTAGAAGCCAGGCAGACATGACAGCAGCCCCTGGGGATTTTTCAGCGATAGACGACAATGGAGAGGAGGTGCCCCTTGGATCTGTTGGAATGCTGAGGCAAGTCTTTACAGACAATAGTGGTAATCAGCTCAGTCTTAATAAAAACATCTCAGTCCGCATCGACGCTGACCAGTTAGATATACCCGATGGTGTCACAGTTTATCAATGGTACCTGAGCAAGGAAACAGGTCGCTGGGTTAAGTTCGGGGTATTACGCCCCGAGCAAGGAGGAAGTTCAAGACTCAAGAGACGGTCACCAAGGAAGTTCTTTGTGAGTGAAATTACACCAAATGTTCCTTTGGACAATATCAACTGGGATTACGTTACTGTTGTCAGTTACGTCCGAGTCAAGGCTCCTTCAGGCACTGTAGTGACTCGCATCGGTCTGAGCGACAATGGGCTACAGTACACTTCTTATCGCCAAGATACAGTCCCTGCTAGCGGAACCCTGTGCATTTTAAGCTTACGAGACAAACGAGCCATTCTTCAAGCCGAACGCGATGGAGTGCCTCTCGTTCCACGACAACCTACTGGCTTTCCTTCATCGGTGAACCCCCAGATCATTGATGGGTCGTCTGTGGGAAACGTTTTCAAAATTCAGTCCTTCCGGTTCACTTCCACCAAAGCAGATGATAGAGGTCCCGTTTACCTCAGAGGCGAGCATGGCAGATGTGCTCAAAGAGGAGCAAATGATTTTGCTTTTGAATTCCGAGATGCTAATGTGGGGCAATTGTTCCACTGGCAAAGTATTAGAATTAAAGATCCCAACGATATTCGGTTGTGGCAGGTGAGACCTGATGAGATTTGTTTTGTCAAAGCACTTGTGGTAGGGTCAAAGCCTGACTCAGTTATATATGTGAAGAGCTTTGGAAAAGCTCCTGGTCTATCCAACGTGGATTACGGTTACACTGCGGAGAAGAGTGCCACGGTTGGTGGACAAGGTGTGGTGTGCTTGGAATACCGATGTAATGAGGGTTCATCAGGGCAGTACCAGACCCACTTACAATTCCTCACGCTGACAGGATCATGCACAGTTCAGGGGCTCAACAGTGTTTTGAATGGTGCACAAAACCAATGCACTGTGCCGCCAGCCAGTTCCTCAAGTCAAGAGCGCAACTTTTGTGTTCCACATTTAGTGGGAGGCGATGCTGGGCTCTACTCTGGAGATACAGGTGTGGCCAAGAATAGGTGTCTCACAGGGAACCAGCAGTACAACTCAGGCCGACCAACTCCTACAAATCTAAACCCTACAGTCACCATAAATTGCCAGTAAGTAGACTTTAAAGTATGTTGATGCTTTCCGTTTGCCGGTCAATATTGCTTTGTACCTCTGGACCACAAATAAGAAATATGTTCGCAACAGATGCAGCGTTTTGATAAGTTTTATTGCGATTCCTTTATATGAAAAGAAGTATTGTTTCCTCGCCTCAGAGAATACTTGAAACATCAGTTTTTCTTAAGTGTAAACAATGTTATAAAGTCTTGGGTGGAGTTAAAAATGTCAAGGATGTTGCGTTTGTTGTCTAATTGGCGCTTTAGCGAGAAAAGCAAGGTTCTCATATTTGAAGCAGTGATAGAAGTTGGCACCTTGGGCGTTTATGTTTATAAGGTTTTTGCCAGTGGGGCGATGGAGCAAAACATTTCTTTTGGTTTGGAGCGACACCTTCAAGGGCTGCGTTTGCAATGGACAGAAAGTTTCGTGGAGCCTTTCCATGAGAGTAAATGCTTAAGTTATTATCCTTAGCAATTAGTTTCCTTCTTGATGTTGGAAACTTTCAGGGATGCGATATTATACCGTCACATCTTAGTCTTAAACGTCTTTGGGACAGCAACGGCATTCGTGATGACATTTTATACCTCATGTTTGTTTCTTTTTTCTCTTATTTCACCTAGGCGTCAGCCTGATAAAATAACGAGATGGATAAATGGGAATTGACTGTGTGGACCATTAAGCTAACAAATGACAGACCTGACTAAGCTGCTTTCCTACATAAGATAAGATGATTGAAGGGTGATTTAATTTTCATTACACAAGATTTTAATGCGATAAATGGTATTGAATAAACGAAGGTGTGATGTTTTTTACGAAATTGTGCTCATTTCCTTTGCAAACAACGGTTTGCTGAATCTCATTACTTTTAAATTTACCGTTACTCAGTATACTTGCCAAACTTTGAATGAAGCTAGACAATGAAGGTGCCTCTGTCCTGTGGTTTGGTCCATATTTCACGCTGATATCGAGGCAAGGAGTATAAGTCAAAGAAGAGATTGCGAAAGTAAAACAAAAAACTAGAACCTTAAATCCCCTCCAGGGTGAGGTGAGTATATATATCTTATTAATATAATAATATAATAATATAGATCAATTTCTATAGCGCATTTCCATGTAAATGCTCTAATGCGCTTTACAACACTGTGCGGGGGACTTTTCCAGACTGCCGGCGGCAGTTTACAATTAATAAAGGAGAAATTTTTACAGATGCCCCCTCCCCCCCTTCCCAGTAAACAGGCCAGACCACATCACAGTAATCTCGTGATGTGGGTTCTTTAACGTCCCTTGCCGAAATTAACTAATTAACTAAGACTTTACGTCCTATCCGAGAAGACGAAGCAATGTGAGTGAAGCGTCTTGCTTAAGGACACAACGTCAAGCCCCAGCCAGGACTTGAACCCGGGCCATCTGACCTAGAGTCCAGCGCACTGACCACTGGACTACTCACGCCTCACATTATCGCTGAGTATTTTTACGCGTTCTGCCGTATTTTGACGAGCCCGTAGGGTGAGTCAAAATACAAACAACAAGTAAAAATACTCAGCGATACTACACAACAAAACGTCTAATAAGTTATTTATTATCCAACATACCAAACTATTATTTCAGCGCGGGCGAATTTCGCGGATACTTATTTACTGGGAGTGAGGGACAGAAGTATGCGAAGCGGAACGGAATTGGCGCGTTGGCGTGGTGCTGTTTCTATTTTCAATAAATGAAGAACTTTCCAGGTCGTCTAGCTGTTTTTCTTCGTTCGATTCATCTAATAAACTTGGATGTGTATTTGCCAGCCATTCTGACTCTTCGTCGTCGGAAATATGATTCAAATTGTCCGCCATTTTTTTTCGTAACTACAATTCAATTCTCCGCTCGCGCAATGCGAGAAAACCTGTTTAACCGGTACTCTAGAGTACAAATACCGCGTGATATTTGTACTCGTCTATGGCGTTATTTGTACTCTACGCAGTGTAGTTGGATAATAAGAAGTAATATCAAGTGCACTCTCACCAAAAGCAATCCTTTCTCTCCCCCCCATCCTCTTAACCTTTTGAACTAGATAAGACAGTTTCATGCAAGTTCGTGTTTGCCCAGGAGAAATTAGGAACCCATGGAGCTCAATATTCAGGGCATTTTTTGCCCATTATTCAGGACATTTTACTTCAATCTGCTGAACTTCTGAATGCCAAACTGACAACACAGTCCTTTTATATGGTTCATGGTGGACTAGACTCTTAGGTAGAGTCAAAGATCTCGAAGATGTTGCGTTTATTGCCTAGTGAAAGCTTTAGCGAGACAAAAAAGGTTTTATATTTGGAGCAATGTTGGAAGTTGGCACCTTAGGTGTTTAAGTCGATGAAGTTTTTGCCAGTGGGGGCGATGAAGCAAGCATTTCTTTTGGTTTAGAGCGACACCTTCAAGGGCCGCGTTTGCGACAGAAAAGACGCTTTGTGTACCCTTTTCATGAGAGTAAATGCTCAAATTATAATCCTTAACAGGTACATCTAATTATCCATAGAATTAAATATTGCATAAATAGAGTCACGGATTTAGGTTTGAAACATAGAGTAAGATACACTTGCGAGGGAATTGCGGGTTGAAATAACAACCGGAAGAAGTCGCTGTTCGCTCTACACTGTTATGTGCTCCACGAGAAACACCAAGAACGTGTCTGAAAGAAAAATTACATTGAAAGAATATAGAGGAAGCTTAGAAGAGGGTCTAATTAGGGTTACCCGTTACCCTTAGAACGACCGAAAAAACAAGGCGTAAAACTGACAAATTTTAATCTTAAGTCGTACAATAAGTTAACCATGGGAAACTTTTGGTGACAACAATGGAAACGTTTTCTAACCGTTAGCCGTAAAATGGAAACATTTTAACCGTTAGCCGTAAACGTCATCACCCATCTCACAGTCTTAGAATGATTGTAGTGCTCAGGAGAGGTGGCAACCCTAGACCGTAATTACTGCGTTTTCTCTCTCCTCGTTCGCGTCTGAAATCTGCCTTTCCGTAATGAATTACAGCTCGTATATTTTAGGTTAAGAAGAGTAAAATGATACTTGGCGCACTATTTTTCTGGCCTAGCAGAACACCGAATCTTTTGTCCTGTGCTGTTTCAAAGCGTCATTTGTCAATGATCCTGGTAACCACAGAGACGGGATATCCACTTCTGTACTATCTGATTATTCTGCCACGAACAATGACTATTGAAAACAGAAAATGGGCGGGCCAATTCTAGGGAAAAAACGTAGGTTTGTTTAACCACAGACATTAAGGTAAACATCAAAAGTCGCGCGCTCAAAGACATTTTGAACTTGTGTCTAACATTTTCGAGATGCATTTACAAAAATAAACTGAGTTATTTCCAAAATGCACTCAGTACCACAACTCAGCTAAATTTGTATCTGTTTTTCTCAATCGTATTATTACCGAATAATAATTTGAATAAATCAAGTAAGGCATCATTCGCCAAGCCTGAAAGACTTCCGGTTAGTTTCCGAACCATCGGAGCTTAATTCGAAAAAAAAATCCGAACTGTTATGCATATTGAAATGTATAAGGAAAAAAAGAGAAAGTGGATATTTCAAAGAAACAAAAATTAGAAAAATATCAAAAGAGAAATCATCTTTTTCAGTGTTCAATATATATTCAGTTCCTTACTGACCAATGTTAAAACGACTAGATGATAATCCACGATACTTGTGTTTACATTTTTTTGTGTTAAATCCCATCTGTCATTATTTGATAGCCATAAAATTATGGATAGGAATTGCCTGATTTCTTTGGCAGGAAATATCGCACCGATTGTCAAAGCATAGCCTAGGATGATATAATGGGTTCTTCATGCGGTTACATTCAGTCATTCAACGACGGCGCTTTGTTTCGCGTAACAGCGAGCAAAGACCCCTTCCCACAACCAATATAATTTCATTTTATTCCCAAGGAGCTGTCAATTATTATCCAACGGAAAGTTATAAAACCAAACACAACACGTAGCAGATGATAATCTATTCATTTCTCCACCTTCTTCTCCCTTATTCGCTGTCGTCAAACGCAAATAAACACAACACCTACAGCTGGGATCGTGCAACAAAAATACATCGAAGTGAACATGGCGACTGGTCTTGGCGTGTCTCCAACACAAGAACATCATCGATTGTTCCCAGAAAACATCGAACTCAACGTCGGCGGTAAGTATTACTCGACGACGGTGTTGACACTAACTAGAGAGCCCGAGACGCTTCTGGGCCGAATGTTCAGCGGTAGGCAGAAGGTAAATAAAGACAACTCCGGGAAATATTTCATAGATCGCGATGGGTCATTGTTTCGGTATATACTCGACTTTCTACGCACCAAACAATTGCATCTTCCGGAGGAATTCGGCGAGATTGAAAGGCTTAAAACGGAAGCAGAGTTCTTTGAAATGGACGATTTAGAACAACAGCTTGAGCAGTACTCGAAAAGGCGGGAACGAGCTGCTACTGTCGTAAGCGAGCAATTTGGTTACATTACCTTACACATTCGCGGTACATATGCGTTTGGACGCACAGGTCAAGCAGACGTCACTTTTCGCAAATTGCAAAGAATTGAAGTTTCTGGCCGAGTATCTTTATGCCGCGAGGTGTTTGGAGAAACTCTAAACGAGACACGAGACTCTAACCCTGAGGGCAACAGATACACGAACAGGTTTTATCTTAAACATAATCATATCGAGAGAGCTTTCAAACGGCTTAAAGACTCAGATTTCGACCTGGTTTCAAGTAGCGGAGGAAAAAGTGGATTAAGTGCGGATAGCACCAAGAGCGACGAAGATAAATGGGACCATTTCTCTATTCACGTTTTTGTGCGGCGATAAATTGAAAACAAAAAAACCTATATATTTGCGTGCGATAAAGACAATACTTTTTTGTTTCTTGCATCTTTTTTCTTAAATACATTGATTTTAAAATTTGCGCCGCTTCTTTAAATGAACTATGAAGTTTTAAGTGCATATGGCACTCTCCTGCGTTATGAACGTACAGATTTAATGTTTCAGACCTGTGAATAAGTCCTTAGAGCAAACAACTGAAATAGCCCGAAGTTATAAATAATGTTGAGATAAACGGCTGGATTATCCTGCACATTGGAATTAATTAACCTCCAAATCCTTCTCGAAGCGGTTATAGCCACAAGGAGACTCACTAAAAGCAAAATTTGAAGTCGTGCCTCGAAAAGTCTACTTGTTAAAAATAAGATTTCGCTTAATTTCTCTCACCGACCAGCTAAATAGGATGTGCATAATTAGCTTGGACCTGTCGAAGTACTAATGAAAATAGGGCGATTCTTCGTCAAGAAAAATCACACGACGACCATTAACACACTATTAATGCGAACCTTGTTGGTCATTTAAGTGACAAGAAAATCCTGAAAACAATTATTGCCAACTTTTGTCGCAAAAACACGGACCGGCTGATTCTCTGTGAGCAATTCGCTTTTCAGAAAATCATCAAAATTGTCGGGCATTTTATCAAACTTGAAGTACAACATCGACCGATGAATAATGTCTACGATTGAAGCGCAAATACAGCAGGAAAAATGAAATTAAAGTTTCCTACCGGTCATTTATTTATTCGGCTACCAAAAAAGACTTTTCCGAGCACACATAATTCGGATAAAAAAACGTGACAACATACCAGCTTGCGATTTATTCAATAACCCTGCAAGATGATAAAGGAACAAATCGATCGTATTTCACACGGAAGACGAAAGAGAGATAATTCGTTATTCTCTGCCTTTGATGTTTTACTGTTACGATAATCCTCATAGTCTTCATAATACTGAGAAGATCATTTCCTACACTCCATCGCCAATTCTCTAAAAATTATGTTAATTAGATAAATAAATGGGCAGCTGGGGTTTGAAAAGAGAGACAATTGAGTGTTGTTTTTCTTTTTTACATAAGATTTTACATATACGATTCTTCACTATGAGAACAAGCATCATATGGTAAGGAGTGAAATTTACAGCAAAAAAAAGGACAAATGAAGTTTTTCTTTTCAACGTTAGGAAAATCGTACGCACTCGTACATTGTGTAATCTGCGTGTAGTCAAGGTGGTAAAATGAGTGCTTCTCTCTTACAAAATACACGAGTAAATTCAAAGGTTGTTATTTTTTTAAAAGAACTGAGATACTACGAGAGCTTTGATTGGTCGAAAAGTTTGTAAATCACTCGCCGGAGGCCAGTGATTTACAAACTTGTCTCTCTTTTCTAGCGAATGGCACAGGAACCGGCGACGCAGATTTCTGAATTACGACATCATGTACAACGGTAAATGCGAACTGTCCCCTATTCTGATTGCCTTTTTCGTTCTTCGAACGAATAAAATGTTTGTGATAAGGGAATGGTGGTTTGTGTTATGCTTTAGTAATTGCTAACGGATATTGTTATAAATTGCTGCCCTTCGTAAAATATTACCAATTTTATAATCAGTCTAAAAGATTCTTTCGTTCACTTGTTCCCAGCAAGTGGCACAAGTCGGGTGTTGCGTTGTGATCCACCGGAACAAACATTAGCAGCAGGTGGCGCTGCCAAAGTCTAATTCTCATTGAAGCAGTCCTGTGTTCCCAAACCATTTGAAGATCTTCAACTTGCATTGCTCTCCGAACTGGATGATTCGTATATTGACATTCGATCACTGAATATCGACGAGATTTTCCTGAAAAGGGCAAAATTTTGTTTAAGACCTGATTCGCAACTCTCCTTTCTTGCTATTACTCATTTTCAAGCAAGACGACCAAAATTTCCTTTTTTTTTTCCCTTTCCTCGTAAAGTAGGTTTACCTTGGATATGAAACCCATCGGATTAGTCCAATTCCCCAGCTAAATATTTCTCCCATTCATCAAGCCGCTCTTCCTTTTGTTTATCTGTTTCCTCCACTTTGTAGTTTGTTTTTCCATCCCATTTCTCAGCCGTTATTCTTCGGCCGGCGAACCATCGACCATTCATCACCTATCACAAAGAGAAATGAAATGACAGCCAATCAGAATAAGGTAGAATTAGCACTAAAGCAATCATATATCGAAGTACTCAAGTTGAGCCGGGTAGAAAAGGCGGGAATATAAATCAATCCCAGATCTTTTAGTGTTTGGTTTCCCAAAACCAAGAGAGGCCCAAGGGGAAAGGTTTAGGATTATAGTAAATGTCTGAAAAAAACAATATCAAAAAACGTACTGGCAGACAAGCCTCAGCTCCATCAAATGTTGCAAACGCCACTGAACAAACTCCTTCCTTGTTACGCTGAGCAGACATAGAAAACAGAATTACTGGTTAAGATAAATTTTGATATAATTTCCATCTTGAGCGCTAAGTTGAACTACAAGGCTAAGCAATTAAATGCTGGAGATGCGGGAGTGGTTTTCAGTTACAACATATATATTCTCGTCCAGTTTTCATTCCTTGCCTTTACTTCAGTCCGTACTTCATCACCACCAGCGAGATATTTACATGTACCCGTCAGTCAATGAGTATAGTATTATCACCTCAGATCACTAAAAGAGAGCTTGGGCATTAGATAAACTTTTCTACCAACTGTGGGACACCTAAATCTAATTACAACAGCAACTAGCAAGTTATAGCTTTTCTAAGAAAAACAAATTTCCAACCAGACACTAAATTAACATCAATTAAAATGTGTTTAAACACCATAAATCTTAATCCAAAGAGAAAAGAAACACTCACATCGAACACGATCACCTTCCTCACTTCGCCAAACTTTTCACATTCTGCTTTCATGTCATCGCGCAACTCAGTGATCAAAAGAGGATTTTTCTGCGGAGAGAAATACCGAAGTTACGAAGTTATCAAGACTGTTAATTCAAATCAAAGAGAGGTTTAATATTTTTTATACCATATCGATCAAAATAAAAATGTAGCTACTAAAAGAGTTGGAAATGCAACGTGCAATTTCATGCGTGAGGCTGAATGAAGGCGTACAATTGTATCATGAGCTTCGGGCACGGGAGATTGGGAGGCCACCCCCTGTGTATTTGACATTAAATAAATTATCGCATCTCAAAAAGGTCAACAAATGTGTAACACTTTTTTAAACTACTTCAGAGACTTCAGTTCAAGGTTAAAATAGTAAATGTGCCAATTTACTCCAAATTTCAATATCCCCTACAGACAAGGCCCCTGGTGTTAGAACTTTTAGAAAATTAATATTAAAGAAAAATTAACAACAAACCTCAAAGTCTTTAACATCAAACATATTCTTGAAAACAACGACCCTCTCATACTTTTTCCTCTCATCCCTTTCCACCCAATCCAGTAATCTGAAAAGCCATTTTCCAGATTAGTTACTCACAATTAAAACCTCAATAAGCCCCAAATGCATATATAACAACAAGCAGAGATGGCAAACCAAATTTACTTTTCCTGTCCTTTTCCAGCTTTCTTCTTTTTATTCTTTTTCTTTTTCTTGAGAGCTGGATTGTAATCACCTTTCAGATGAAATGTAGCCTGAAATGAGCAACGTAAGGAACAAAACAGTTAGCAATGTACTGTACACCATCTGCACACTAAGAAACCTTTACAACAATGCACTAACTGACTGCACTGCCCTAACTGACTGCACTGCCCTAACTGACTGCACTGCCCTAACTGACTGCACTACCCTACATGTAGATAACATTGCTGCTGAAAAACATCCTCCTGGCTGCATTACTAAGTTTCAATCAACAACCTATGACATCTCTAACCTTTAGTGTTCCTTCACCTTTTATGTCTCTATCCTTTCCTAACCCCCTCCCTAAAAGTTTCTGACCAAATGACCGACTTCTCCCCCACCCCTCTGGCTTCCTAATGGGACTCTTTTCTCTTCTCCTCTTCCTACACTTATACATGTTTACATTTTCTCAGTTTACACCCCTGTAGAAAGTCATAAAATTTGCGAGGTGGAAATTTAGAGGAAATTTCAGTAAAAACAGAATAGAGCATAAAACATGCAGACATACCTGTTCAACATGTATAGTATGTCCTTTATAGTCAGACTCATCCAAGAGCTCTATTGCAAGATCAACACTTTCACGCTGAAAAAAAAAAAAAAAAAAAAAAAAAAAGAGGATTAGATTTCTAAGATTTCCCCCAAAAAAGGGAAAAAGCAACATCACTATTTCTCATGTAAGTGTGTATTAAGTGTATCAGTCAGATTAAAGGCTTACAAACAACAGGAAACAGAATTAATACTAAAGTACCAAGCAGACAATCATCTTGTTCTGGTTGTGAATGATTTCCATCACAGCCAAAAGAGACCTAGGGTCTCAACCTTCAGCCAAAAATGAAGACGATGACGATGACAATGGCAGTGATCATGACAATGGCAATGACAATGGCAGTGATCATGACAATGACTATGACAATGGCAATGATAATGACAACGAAAATGGCAATGACGATGGTGATGACAATGACAATGACAATGGCAATGGCAACGGGAATGAAAACGCCAAAGGTAATGAGAAACAATGATATTGATAATGGCAATGACAATGACAGTGTCAAAGTTAGAGTTAGTGCTATTGAAGATTAGGATAATGATTCCTCTAAACCTTCTCTTTATTTCAAGGCATCATAATTGATGAGGCGTCCCTTCAAGACGCTTATGAAGACGTACGAGATGATTCGACCCAAACCAGCTGGTGAGTAAAATACTGATAAGATAAACGAGTGAGGTAGAAAGCTGCAGGTTTAGTCACTGGGGCTCTGTCCCCATTGACCTCCTATGCAACAGTGTACTTGACGAAATTGCGAATACCACGCCTGCAAGAGAGCCGGGTGACACGCATGCTGTCTGTGACAGTCTAATTCACTCTCGCCCAGCAGAAATCAAATTTACGCTAAAAGCCTATAATCGAAAAGAGATTTGACTTTTAGAGCGACTTTACGATAAAAGAAAGATATGTTTATGCACCTGTAACAACAGCAAAATGCTCTGCCACCTTGAATCAACTTTTAAAGGAAGAGGAGGGGGAGAAAGTTACCGGATATCTTTCCGTTTAAGTGGAAACATTTCAGTTCTCGTGACGCGTTTGAACCGAATGAGCAGATTCAGTGATGGACTGTAATCAAAATGATACAAAATTGTTTACTATTAGCTCTCCCTTTGATCCCAGGCTAGTATGTACTTACGAGGGAAAA